GGACAAAACTCGCATACGCGTAGATTCATAGAAACGCAAGCTAAGCTAAGCACAGTGTATATACATATATGTGTAGTTGCAAGTGCAATCAACACACAATTTTACACCCACTTACATATATACATATTATACATAGGTGCATATATATATGTATATAGCAAAGCAACGGCACCAGCACTCATTCAACAGTATCTGGTTTCGCTTGGTTTCTCTAGAGGTTAATTACTCTGATTATGTTTGGGACATTGGATGCGCTTTACTGTGTTTGTTTGCCTGTTTGCCTAGGGTACCGTTCAAATGGATTGTTGGGCGGTGTTGGGTTGCATTTTATGTCGCAAGAATTCATTTCCTAAGCATTTATGGGGATCCACACGTTGCAGCCAGTTTTATCAATAATTAAGCGAAAGGTGACTATTTTTTGTTGCATTCGTTTCCTTTCCGGTCTTATTGCCAAATATCCTGCAATTACAGTATCCGAAACTACTGGTCATGTATATATGTACAAGCACTCTGATTTATAAAAGGTCCTAAATAAATATGTTAAAGCATACACTTGCCACATTGCTGAGAATCAAGGGGCGTATTAATCAATTATTTATAATGACTTTAAAAAAGTTTAAGAAGAAGCTCAGGAGTAAGGCGAATCTAATGAATATGTTTACGGCAAAAATGGATATGAGCAGCGGTATTATTCGAAAGACATATACAACTTTGTTTTCTGGCATTGGCACTGCTTACAAGAGCATAGCGGGTCGGCATCAAATATTTTCAAAGCTGGAGTTTTGTATCCATCCGGACCACATGACCTAGCCAGCGTAGCTGCTGTTTCTCCATCGTATAACTCGTACAGCTCACCGTTCTATCGTCTACGGTATTCACCGTTGTTAATGCCTAAAGGGCCATAAATCTTACGCAAGACTTTTCTATCGAAGACTCCCAGAGCCGATTCATCAGACGTTGACGATGTCGATGCCATCACGCTTCGGCATAATATACTAAGAAAGTGATTCTGCGCTGGATTTCAAGACTGACGTATTATTGGTGTTGATGCTGGTTCCTAGATAGACGAAATTGTCTACGACTTCAATGTTATGACTGTAACAAGTGACTTGGGAGCCAAGTCGCGATTGCGATGACTGTTTGTTTAATGACAGGAGATATTTCGTCTTGTCCTCGTTCACTACCAGGCCTATTTGCTTCGCTTCTTTATCAAGCCTGGAGAAATCAGAACTAACGGCGCTTGTTGAGGCCGATAATGTCAATATCATCGGCGTACGCCAGTAGTTGTACACTCTTATAGAAGATTGTACCTTCTCTATTCAGCTCTGCTGCTCGTATTGTCCCTAGCAATAAGTTAAAAAAGTCAAACGTTAGGAATCACCCTGTCTGCAACCTCGTTTAGTATGGAACTAGTGGGATAGGTTGTTTACAATGCTGACGAAGCTTTTAATGCTGCTAAAGGTCAGCTTACACAGCCATATAAGTTTTGCGGAGATACCAAATTAAGACATAGCGGAGTAGAGGCAACTACTTTTCGTGCTGTCGAATGCTGCTTTAAAATCGACGAAGAGATGGTGTGTGTCGATTCCCCTTTCACGGGTCCTTTCCAAGATTTGGCGCATGGTGAATATCTGGTCAATGGTTGACTTACCAGGTCTGAAGTCACACTAATAAGGTCCAATCAGTTTTTTGAGGGTGGGCTTCAGTCTTTCCCACAATACGATCGAAAGGACCATATATTAAATATTAAGGAATCGCAGACTGTCGGATTGGCCTTTTTGTGGACAGAGAGGGCAGAGCACAATTAAGTTCCAATCGTCGGGCATTCTTTCATCTGACCGTATTTTGCAATGAAGTTGATGCATGCTCCTGATCAGTTTTTCACCGCCGCTTGGCCGGTAATCCATCGGTCCCCGCCGCTTTGTTGTTTTTAGGCGGGAGATTGCTATTCGGACTTCAACATAGCCGAGTAACGGAACAACTTCACTATCGTCATCAATTGGAGTTTCGGGTTCACCAACTCCGGGTGTTTTATTTCTTCCAATATTAGTATTTGTTTATCATCTTAAACATCTTAAAAGTCAGTGTCAGTTTTGAGCTTTTTTTAGCAGCAATGTGTCATCTCCAGGTTAAGCGCTTATGTAAGTGAATTCTAGGTAATTTCTTCAGCTTGCGGAATAGGTACATAATTGGGACAGTAGGACATTAACGTAAATTTTATGTGTTTGAAAAAATTTTCATTGACTTTTGAGCGCCATCTTGGTCGCTATTTTTCAATTACTTTAAAGTGCTGCTCAAATACTTTTTTGGCTGTAGTTGGGTATTTGTGCAGACTTATTACAATAGTTTCATCCGAAATTTTTACGTAACTCCTTTGTTACTCTAAGGAATACCTGCCGTACCACTACGTACAATAATGGCACGAGAACACTATCTCGCGGTGCACCTGCCGTGTTTGAATATTCTTTTCTTGTATAATCATTTACTTTTACTGTGAATGGCCTGTTAGATAAGTAGGATTCTAGAATATTGTGGAAAGTGTTTGATAATAATTTTTTAATTTTATGAATGAGGTCATCATACCACACTTTGTCAATTGCTTGTGCCACATCAAGAAAATACGGCCGAGCTATGCTCTCTGTATTCGAAAGGTTTTCTTATTTCATTTGTTACACGATTTACTTATTCAATTGTTCTGTGTTTTTTCCGAAATTAATATGTAGGACCACTTCATGGAGGAGACGAGAATTTGCGATAGGTTTTACGAAAAGTTTGTATAGGCAAGGGAACAGGCTGATTGGTGTATATGATGACGGCAGGGTTGCGTCTTTTTCTGTTTTAGCTATCATAGCTATCTCCGACTTTTTCATATATGTGGATAATATCCTAACATTACAATGGTTGTGAAAAGCTTTGCAAGAAAAATGAGAGTAACGCTTCGCAATTTTTTAGCATTTTTGGTGGGATATGATCGCCTTCTGGAGATTTTTTTGGATTTATGGCGGTAATTTATTTCAGACGCAGATGCTCCGCAAGTAACGTTGTAAATAGGAGCAGTATGATTCGGTGACAAAGGTGCACTATTTGTATCAGTGTTTGGTTGAAATACTGTACTGAAATGGTCTACAAAACAAGAAGCCCTTTCTTCATCCTTCAACTTGTGATTTGGAAAACCGTGTGGCTTTTGAATACTCAGGAACTTTACCGAATAATGAATGACACAGCTGGTGTTTATGACTGAGGTTTGCGATTTTTTTGGAGTTAAGATTGTACAACCGCACAACCATTCTGTGGGCTCATCACGAATATTATGTATTCCTTGGGAAATTTTGCAAAAAGCTCTTTAGCCGAAACAATTGTTCCTAATTCCTTACCGCAGGAACAATTTTATTATTATTCATTTCCTATTCTTACCAACAGATCTGAGAGGTATCTGGCAGTAACATCTGCTTTCAAAATTCTCAGTGCAAGCTATAAAGGTGATCGCTTTACGTATATTTTAACTTCTTCCGCTAGCATTCCTCTGGTAAAGTCCAAAAGCAGCTCCGAACGATGCGACCACCAGGGCGAAGCCATGTAGAAAAGATTTGCCTATTCCATTAAGAACATCAAAAAAAGAGATATTTCCCAACCCTGCTTTTATACTTGAAAGTATAAAGTATTTTGTAATAGTTATGTCCTTTTCATTTGTTAGAGAGCTTTCACTACTTGATACTAGAGCTTAAGGTTTTGTTCGAACATTTTTGAGCTGCTCGAGCATTTGAGCAACGAGTACTCGCACACTCGTTCACCGCTCATTGCTCGGAAATTATTGAGCTTGAGCTACGAACAAGTATCGGAAATCCTTTCTTATCGAGAGCATGCGTTATACGCAGAAAATCCATGCTTAGGCACAATGGGGACAATTTTGAAGGTGACAAAATCGATGTAGAAGAATAAATAAAGATTGTTTTATTTTACAAACAAATTCACCTTACTCTTTGCTCGCTGGTATACATATTATATTGTAATTGTGGAGTCTATTTTGATGTCTTTTACCAACAAATAATGGGACCTACAGTTTATTTTAAGCTGTACCCGAGCGGCCGAAGGATTTTTATGAGGAGCCTTTATTTTATGACAGAAATGCACTCGGAAGGCTTGAAACTCAAATTAACAGAGAAACCCTGCATTGGCTAAGTCAAAAGGATGAGCGAAAACATTACAGCTATGACTATGAAATTTTGCTATACAATACTCGCTGATCGAAGCATACAAGGGCTCCCACTTGGGTAGAATGACCAAATGGCGAAGGAACTGGCTACAATTAATATGTTCAATTGTCAGCAAATAGCAAAGGAAACACATATTTCCCCACGAGAATTAAAACAAAGTATTTTGTTTATCATTAAATTTGACTTAAACACAAATTCGATTTGTATTTTGTATTAATAATGGTAGTATATCTGCTAAACCCAAGAGTAGATATGGTTACCTACGTTTTTTTGGACGAATATTAGTTTAGTTATTACAAGAAGAAATATTACGAACAATATTTTAGTATCTTCTTGCAATCGAGCAAGCGGGTATAAATATAAATTATTCAGGGGTTAATCAAGCCAGAGAAACAAATTTTGCTACTTAGAATACTAAAAGTAAAGAAATTACTCCTATTGAAAATTGCGAAACAGTGACATGGACCGGATAAACGATAGACTTTCAATTCGTTCATCCAAACTGATAAGTATGTATGTGAGTTTCTGCTAAAGCCTTTCATACCATCGCAAATAGCCTTTACACGAAGCAGATTACAAACTTTAACACACATATAGAGTAACTGTGAATATGAGACAGAGATTATTACTTTTCTTTTAGTTTAGTATTCATGCAACCAACTCAAAAGCTCTTGCACACGCTCATAATAAGATACATATATTGTACATATGTATATATATAAGCTCTCAAATTTGTATGTAAATTTTTTATGCTTTCGAATTTTTCGTTTTTCTCTTGGCTTACAGATTTCAATATGCAAGCGGAGGCAGCTATACCCGAGGATATTTTTGACCAACAACACATACAAGATGTCGACGATATTGATGCGAACAGTATGCAATTCATTGGAGAGGGCCACATAGATGATGCTGCTGAACCAGAAGCTGATATTGTAAGTAGAGTAAGGTTAAATTCTCACAAAAATATATGTATATACATAAACGTTCAATGCACACGCAAGTGCTGTTGAAAAAATCAAAGGTGCATTCAAACTGCTACCCACTCTAAGCTAACCTATCCGACCATGATTGAGCACTTGCATGGTGCGTGGTGCTTATAGTTTCTTGGATAGCACTACATATTTGTATCAAGTGGAGAAAGGATAAACAATAACCGCAAGAGGCTACAATTTATACAAGAAATGATGCTTGCTATGTGCAATCTGGGTTGTAATATAGATTTGTGAAGGTTTTTACTAAAATCGAAATTCGGATGTTTATACAGCAAAGTGTGGATCAAAATACGCTTATAAATTTTTAACGAGCTTTATTTTAATATTTTGATTGTGTAGAGCGTGCAAAAGTGAAGGCCGCCATGGCTATAAAAACACAAAATCAAATAAACAAAGTAGACTAAAATCTATTATCAATATAGGTATGAAATATACTCAAGTAAAATAAAATAAAAAGTAGAACAAAATAAAATAATATAAACAAGATTAAATAAAATAAAATAAAATAAAATAAAATAAAATAAAATAAAATAAAATAAAACAAAATAAAATAAAATAAAATAAAATAAAATAAAATAAAATAATGCAAATAATATAAATTAAAATAATGTGAAATACAATAAAACAAATGAATTAAATTCAAATAAAATAAAATAAAATAAAATAAAATAAAATAAAATAAAATAAAATAAAATAAAATAAAATAAAATAAAATAAAATAAAATAAAATAAAATAATATAAGCAAGATTAAATAGAGTAAAATAAAATAAAATAAAATAATATTATATAAACAAGATTAAATAAAATAAAATAAAATGAAATAAAGTAGAATAAAATAGTATAAGATCAAATAACCCAAATAAATAAAATAAAATAATGAAGAAAAAACAAATAAAAAATGCAAATAATATAAATTAAAATAATGTGAAATACAATAAAACAAATGAATTAAATTCAAATTAAATAGAGCAATATAATACAAAATAAAATAAGATAGAAATATATTAAAAGCAAAAAATTAAACAGAATAAAGTAAAATAAAAAGATATGAAATAAAAAAAAATAATTATTCAATTGGTATAATTATTTTTTTTTTATTTCATTTCTTTTTATTTTACTTTATTCAAATGAAATAAACAAAAAAACAAAAGTAAACTAAAATAGAATGAATAAATTCAATATATAAATATGTAAAATAAAAAAATAACAAAATAAAAATGTAATTAATTAACAAAAGATAAGATAAAAAACATAAAAGTAAAATAAAATAAAATATAAAAAACAAAAAAATTAAATCAAATAGGAAAAATAATAATAATAATATGAAATAAAATAAAATATAAGAAAAGAAAATAAAATAAAAGTAGATAAGAAGAAATATAATGAAATAAAATAAAGAAAAATAAAATGAAACAAAATAAAATAAAATAGAACGAAATAAAATAATAAAATTAAATAAATATAAAAAGTAAAATAGGATAAAGTAAAATAATATAAAACGAAATAAAATAACATTAAATACAAAAGATATGAAATGAAATAACATATGGTAAAATAAGATAGAATAAAAAATGTAATAAAACAGAATAAAATAAAACAAAAAAAGAAAAATCAAAAAACGCAATAGAGTAAAATAAGCCAATATAAAATAAAAAAATTAGATGAAATGAAGCGAATTAAAACAGAGTTCCTCCTCCAATTTGCGGTTTATATTAAGCCGCCTCCTAACGGATGGTTTTTATGACGAGCCTTGAAATATAAGAAATACAATCGGAGGGATTCACATTCCCTGTCGAGCGGCGACCGTAATTAGAAATTCATTTTCTATAACTTCTAACTCGCCATATATAATATGTATATACTAATTAAATCGACTTAGTAGTAATATATGTATCATATTACAACAATATTATTTACTAAGTTAAGCCGAGCAATACTAAGCAAGACCAAAATACTGCTTTAGTTCAACTATTCGTTGAATAAATTTCTAACTTAGTGATTGACAACAAAACAAAAATCGCTGATGGGCACCTCAACTTGCTGCCTGTAAAGTTTATCAAGAGAAACCAATTCGTAAAGTCAGCTCTCCAAACGCAAGACATGACAACGTGGAAACTAGCAGTAAAAGATCAAAATTCATTAGGTATTAGAATGCAATGTATGCAAAGGAGTTTCGAACTTAAATAAGTTGTTCTGACGATTCTGAGGAGTTGATGCCAACATTTTTAGCAATACAATAGAATTTATAAACAATGGAATACTCTTGAGCTGAGGCATTTTGTGTAAAAACGAAGCATGGAAAGCTTAAAGGCGAATAAAAACTGCAGTATTTGTATGCAAATGAACATATATAAATAGATTATGTTATTATTGAATAAAGTTATAGGGAGCAATAGTACTCATAGAAAGAATGCTGCAGTCATATCCCTATCCAATAAACATTTTTGTTGGAAATCGATTCGAAGCCAGATTGAGATCAACGCCCATTTCTAATTGTTATATTCAATTGTACTGAGATTGGAGAATCAAACCATTCGCAATGAAAACGGTACATTTTTTATAGAATATTTAAATAATCTCAGTTCTCCACTTGAGAAACTGTTGTAATTGTAATTGTGCGCTGCCCAACCCATACATATGCGAAACCCACGGTCTGCACCAAATAGCATGTGACTAGCCTCCCTAATATAGCATCCAACATTCTATAAAGCATGTTGTATGAAAAGGTAAAGCCCACTGCCAATAAATTGATGGACCATATCAGTGTGGCTCTAGCCCTGTAAATCCATCATAGATTAGAAATGTTGGGATAAACCAAAAAAGATACAAATCACATTTTTATCATTTTAAAACTGCGTTTTCTGAATTTGGTATTCCCACAAAACTTATATGGCTGTGTAAACTGACACTGGATAACCCCAGAAACGCAGTCAGATTTGGGAACGGCCTCTCCGAGGCACTCTGTACCAAACGAGGTTTTAAAGAGAGTGACTCTTTATCGCGCGATTCCTTTAATTTGAAGCTAGAGAGCTAAAAAGACAAAGCACAATATTTTAAAAGAGTATGCAATTGCTGGCCGCGCGACTACTTCTGCCTTCCCCAAACCTGACAAAGCGAATGGGTCTGGCAGTGAACGTGGACGAGCACTTACATTCATCCGTCATAACACTATCTGCAGCCCTGCATGCGGTTTTGAGCATTCCACCATCAAACCTGGTAGCTAAGAACATAGCATTTCTAACTGCTGCGAGGCTAAATGCTTCCCAGCAGTTGAAAGTCTGGAACTAGTACAGCGTGAAAACAAAGCTCGGTTTTATAATCCGACTATAAAGCCTATGGCATCTAATTGTGGGGCATAACTTGCGCAATGAATCTGAATATAATACAAAATTATAGTCCAAAACAACGAAAACGCAACCTCACCTGAAGAGAAGGCACTACAAACTGAGCCGGCAGCCTATTCCTGGCTAGTGGGGTGTTAAATCTTAGTTAAGCCATTAGAAGCAGATTCAGTAAATAAATACAAATAATACTAAAAAATATATCTTTATTATATATACATATTTGGAGAGCATTTTTTATTCGGAATTCTCAATATTCTGTAAGAGTGTACATTTGCTGGAGTACCCATTCATATTCAACCCCGATGATATTCACATCATTGCCCTCAGTAACAACGGCGTTAGTTCTGTTTTCCCTAGGCTTGATAGAGAAGCGAAGCGAATGGGTCTGGTAAGGAACGAGACAAAATGATATTAGGTCAAATAAAAAGTTCGTTCGGTTTTTAATTGATTTTTCAAAAGATGATAACTTTGTGTACATTTGTCCAATTTAAGTCAAACTGATGCCAACTTCATTTTACCCCTCCCGTAGAAGGCGGCTTTCGTATTGGCAAGAAACTCGGAGAGCCAATTTCCTTCTCTTGAGGCCAACTTCTCATCATTAAGCGCGTTCGTCATGGACAGGAAAAGATGGTAATCACTTGGTGCCTGTTCTGGTCTATAAAGTGGGTGGATTAACACCTCCCATACGAGCTCCTGGAGCTTCTGGCGCCACCAAAGACGTGTGTGACTTGGCGTTGTCCTGATGGAACACAATTCGACATCTGTTGATCAAAAATGGCATCTTCTGGATGAGTGCAGCCTTCAAACGGTCCATTTGTGGGCAGTAGAGGGCCGAATTGAGCGTTTGGTCATGGGAGAGCAGCTTGTAATAGATGATTCCTTGTATATCCCACCTGACCGTCAATCCGGTCTTGGTCACCGTCTGGGCCGTTTCCCCGAGCTTTGACCACGAAAGTTTGCGCTCGATGTTGTCGAAAGTGACCCTTTTCCATCGCCAGTCACAATCTGCTTCAGAAACGGGTCGATTTTGTTGCGATTCAGCAGCGATTCGCAGATGCAAATTCGGTCCATAATCCGTTAGTTCGTGTGGAAACCAAACATCGACCTTCTTTTTGAATTCGATTATGCATATGGTTCCAAACGGTTTTCTGGCTTATCTTTAGTTCTCCAGCAATTAAATAAGTGCTCACGTGACGGTTTGTTTCCACTATTTCCATGGTTTTATCGCAATTTTCGACGACAGGCTTCCCGGCGCGTGGTGCATCTTTGACATCGAAATTACCGGAACGGAACCTAGCAAACCATTTTTGTGCTACACGTCGTTTACAGTATCGGGACCATACACTAAACAAGTTTTTTCAGCCGCTTTTTTCTGCTTTTTCGCCCTGATCAAAGAAAAATTGTAAAATTTGGCGAATTTTTTCTCTTCTCTTGTCGATCTTTGACGAGCACTCACAACGTACTGAGTCCATCAATCGAAAAACAAACCTTTAGCGCGAATAAACACGTTTGCAGCGCCGTATAGTATGACATGAGGAGACACATAACACTGGCACTATGGGCAATAACGCCACCTCTTAGATAAAAACCGAACGAACTTTGTACTTTACCTAATACCTTCTGTCATCAAATAAACATTCATCGTATTTACGACTCGGTTCCCACGTCACTGCTGACAGTCATAACTTTGAAGTCGTAGATAACCTCGTCTGTTTTGGAAACTGTTTTAACACCAACAACGATGCTAGCCTAGAAATCCAACGCACAATCACTTTTGCCAAGAGGAGCTACTTTGGCAAACAGGCGCTGCAATTGAAAAGTCTCTCGGCGAGCCAAAATCTAACTTTGCAAATCGCTTATCATCCCCATTCTGCTATATGGTGCGTAGGCATGGACGATGACAAAATCTGATGAGATAGCGTTAGTAGTTTTCGATAGAGAGGTTTTCCATAAGATGTATAGTCATTTACTAGTTGGAAACAGCAATTACCGTAGCCAATGGAATGAAGAGCGATATGAGATATACGACAACATTAACATATTTCACTGAATCAAGAGACAACGACTACGCTGGCCAGGTCATATGTTCCGGATGGATAAGAACACTACAGCTTTGAAAATGCAGTCCCGCCGGTAGAAGCAGAGGAAGACCTCCCCTCAGCTGGAAAGACCAGGTAGAAAAGGATCTGGCTGTACTAAGTATCTCCAATCGGTGCCAAACAGCGCAAATAAGAAATGAACGTCGCAATGTTATTAACTCGGCTATAACCGCGTTAGCGATGTCTACGCCAGTAAATAAGAAGAAGAAGACGAATATAGATCTGCAAAAGTTTGCTATTATTTATTAATTTTATTAGTTTTTAAAACTTTTTTTAATTCAATTGCAAGAATATTTTTGAATTTTGCAAATAACAGTGAAGAGCCTTTAAATCTCACATTTGTCACGTGTACACATTAACAGTTAACTTAGATTTGCTGTATTAAATGAATATTAAATTTATGTATACACAGCCCTCTAGTCCTTTACCGACTCAATTTAATATTTTGTTTTCTTCTTTGCAATTTATGCAGATATTTTCAGCGCGAAAAACCAGCTCTTCAGGGCGGAGAGAGAAAGGAGAGCATCTCGAGGAGAGCAACAAAAATGTTGACGGCAAAAGCAGCAGCAATAACAAGCAAACCGAATATTTTAGAAGAAATATAAGAAGGCGAAATGACAAATTGAAAAACAATGCGGACAATGATGACAACAACAACAGCAGCAACGACAACAACAACATGCGTGCAGACACAAACTCTGAGAATGACAATATATCTGTCTACACTGATCAACTGAGCGAACTGGACGTGCTGGACACCGTGACTGGGGAACCGTTGGCGTCGTCCGGCAAGAATGAGATGAAAACTTTTATATTGACGAGACAACCAAAAGAAAAACAAAATCGCAAATTAATAGCAGAATATGAGAAAAGTGATGAGGAGCAGGATGGGAGCACGACTCGGCAGCAACAGCCATTTATTGAAAACTTAATAGCGGAAAAATTTAATAAAGCAACGGGACAAATAGTAAACAACAGAGGCAAAGTGAGCGACAACATACACAACTACAATAACAAAAATAACAACAATAACGCAAACATTGTCGGTATCGATGATGATGATGATGATGATGATGATGATGATGATGATGATGATGATGTTGATACTGACAAGCAAAGCCGAGCCATCAAAGGTGGCACAATAAATAAAGACAACAATATGAGTAAACATGTAAACAACAAATCAGAAATGGAGTACACGGACCTTAATCAAGAGCCGGAAATGGCGATCGGCGATATTGAGGACAACTTTTGGAATGAAGATGAAGAGAAAATACAGGAACAACATCAGAAGCATCCAATCAAACCAGCTACACTTAATGCGGAGACTAGTGCTGGTGGTGGTGGGGACGAAAAGTCGCCGGAATTTTTAGTGAAAATGAAGGATAAAGTAGATCAACGGAAAATGTTTAAAATCAAACGAAATGAAAGAGCCAGTAATGGTAACGCTGACGATGACATGGGCAAAAGCATCGCAGACTCAAACCGCCACCACGGGCGCGAGCTAGACGAATATAATGCCAAGACATTCGAACAAATAGCAGTTGCAGAGAAAGTTGAGACGCCACAAAGTCTACACAACCAACAGCACGTCGCTAAAGTTTCTGACTTCAATGATGGCGGCACGAGTATCGCTGAGGTAGAACCACAATCCGATCACTCAATAACCTACTTTGGCATCTTAACAAACAGCTCGAAGCAGCACGGAAATACGTTTGAAGTAGAACCAGCCGAAGGAAATGAGTTCGGAAGGGGAAATTCGGCCAAAACAGCAGACATTGTAGCGAAAATTGCTGTCAGCGATGGCACGGTTGAAGCTGACTCCGCATATCCAACACGAAATCAACAACAACAGCAACAACAACGTCCGCTGATGGGTAAGTGTTGATTTTGGAAGAATTTACCAGAAACAAATTCAACTACACGCAGCAGTATGTGTTTGTGTGTGTGTGTGACGTTTGCGTGTTCAAAAAATTAAACAAAACAGAATGTTGTACGGCGACATGAGTGATTGTGTGTGTGTGTGTTATTGTTTGCGTGTGAATTTGAACACTTCGTGGAAGTTTTTTTTTTTTCAGTTTGTTTTGGCTTGCAAGTGTTGGCTTTGGGATCGTCTTCAAGACTTTGTTTGACTTTAAGTCGCTCTCAGCTAAAGTTTGCATAATTTGGTAAAATGTTTTGAAATCAATATTTGGCGCGAATTTATTTGTACAGATTACCTTTGTATGTGTATATAAAACATGGAACATGTACACACAATGCGGTTGTTTATTTGCATGTCTAAAAGTTCGGTAGGCAAAAGTTTGGGTTGTGTGAATTCAAAATTAAAATTTAATTCAATCAAGCTTGGGCTCGTAATATATTATACTAACATATAATATACGATTAAACATATAACGAGTTCAACTTCATAAATATATCAAAAAGTTCTCACTTCCGGGGCTCAATTTAATTCAATATATTTAGGTTTAATAAAAAGTAATACATTATTTTTGCACTAAATAGAAGGGTTTATCGACCGTAGTTAAAATCAACCGATTTATATAAGAAATTCACCCATATGCTTCATACCCTTTTCGTGTTTTAAGTTAATTTTATTGTGACTCTCATAAAATCCCTTGTCGCCATCAACAAAAAATTGGGACAATCATTTTCAAAGGCTTCCTTGCAACTAATTCTTCATCAATCAAATCATTCACTCTAGACAAAAAAAAGGTGGTAGTCCTTTGGTAGAAGGTCCGCACTATCAGATGGATGCATAAGAACCTTCCGGAGCTTCTGGTGAGTTACTATTGATGTGGTGTGGCGTTGTCCTGGAGAATTACAATTTTCCTCCTGCCGGCCACAGCTGCGCGCTTCTGACTGATTGATTCCTAAATACAATCCAATTGCTTATAGGACAGGTTGCGGGTGAGGGTTTGAATGTAGTGAATGGTTCCTTGCCAACCTCACCAAGCATACAACAAAACCTTCCCGGCCTTCAATCCTGATTTGCAAATCGTTTGTGCCATCTCACTACCCTTTGATCACGAACGTTTTCGTTTAACGTTGTTGTAAGTGATACATTTTTTAACAGCTGTTACCATATGCTTTACATATGACACGATTTTGTTACGATTCAGCACCGATTCGCTGATGAGAATTCGGTTCATGACGTTTTGCCTACTTAACTCATGGAGCACCTATACGTCGAGCTTCTTTATGTATCCAGTGCTTTTTCAAGTGGTTTCAAACTGTATTTTATGCAATCTTTAGTTGCTCATGTACAGTATGTCTTACATCCAAATTACCGTAAAGAAATCGAAGAAACCACATACTAGGTGTGATAAAAAAATAACCGTTATTTTCTAATCTTTCAAAAAGTATTGATTTATTAATGAATAACTTATAACATACTTATTCCAGCATTTTTCCAATCCTCAAAACTCTTCTGAAACGCGTTTTTTTGTATCGCCTCAATAGTAGCAAAACGCTTTCATTTCATCGGTGTCTTCAGTTTTGGGAAGAGGAAAAAACCAGCGGGGACCAAGTCCAAGAGCATCGATGTGTGAGCTGTGACGTTATCATGGTTCAAAATTCATAATTGACAATCTTCACTGCAACATTCGTAAGAATTGCTTGACATGAGCAGAATGATCTGCCAACATCATCTGCAACCTTCTTGATAAAGATCGACGATTATCCATAATCATTTTCTTTACTGCATCAATGTTTCCATCGGTTGTTGACGTGCTCGGGCGACCAGGACGACCATTGTCATTGACATCTTCTTGGCTTTTCTTGAACCGGTTATAGCACAATTGAACTTGTGTTCTGCTCATAGTAGACTCGCCAAATACCACAGTCAACATTTCAAATGTCCTAGCACATTTAACTACATTTCTTTCACAAGCATACAGTTACTTTGATCCATTTTTTCGAATGATAAAATATCGAAGAGCACATCAAAACACGACTAACCTTTTTATCTGTCAAAAACAAACTGGCAATCCAAAATGGCTGATAATACCAACACATATTACAGATATGTGTACCAACATAACAGAAAAAAAGCGAAAATCGAACATACGGAGCTCACGAAATTTGTAAATAAAGGAGGGTTTCTGATAGACCTCGTATTTGACTTTTGAATTAACAGAACTATAAGCATCATTCACATCTTCAGCTGCCTACTTTGCTTTTTCGCCTTTAACGAAGAAAAAGTGTAGAGTATAGGGTATTTTTTATTGCTGGTGTCCATCTTTGGCATGCGCTCAAACACTACTAAGCCATGTGATCAACACTTCTCTTATTACTTTTAATAGTGCAAAATATCACCTTTCTAACGCCAATGAATTAGACCTCTAAAGCCGCCTATTGAAAAGGTAATGGTTGTCTTCTTACTTGACCTAATATAATGGTGCCCCCTTGTTATTAGCAGTTAATAATTGTTTTATTTCGTTATATGGAGTTCCGGTGGGACCAACACCAATTCGAGTCTTGACCAGAGCAAAATTTAAAAATTTAATGATAAATTATCACTTTCGTTGGCAAGTATTGCTGCTGAGCAGAGGTTAGCCATAAAACCAATTAAATATGAATAAATAAATACTGAAAACTCATTTGTTTCCTTTCGTTTGCCGTTCTATTTATGCCGGAAGAAGATTACAATAACACAAAACAAATGTATCCTTATCAAATATTCAATGCACTCAATTAAATGAACTCTACTTTAAGGGATGAACTTTAATAGATACTGTTGCCAAAATAGTTTTTCTCTTATTATGATTTTTTTTTTTGTATTTTATTTGGTTGAAACTATTGTTAAAGAGCATACATTTTGCGGCTTTAATTAGTATACATATATAAGTATATATGTATGCACTTATTAACCTCAAGCCGAACTCAAAATAAAACTACACTCTTATTTATTTTAGCCGCAATTGTTTGTTCCTTAAGAATAGCCCAAAATAGCCGACGAAATAACACGAAAAATAAATAATATAAATTGAAAAGATGGCAATGAGTATTCCATTGTGGACAATTGTGGAAAGCAATCACGTAACTGCTATTCATTGGCCCACTTTTGTTAGTTTAGTTCATGTTGAAACGGCTACAATTGTAATGTACTCCCAAGGCTATTAAACAGTGAGAAGAGATACATGAGCAGTGAAAATTAGACGAATGAAAATGCAGACAGGCATACTATTTATGTACATACGTGTATGTATTGCCGCCTATGTGAAGATGTTTCCAATATGAATTCATCAGTTTAAATCAAAAATTGTCACTTAGTGACACATTTTTTGTCTTCTCAGCTTTTATCCTGTAAATAGCGAAAAATTGACCTCAAAGTCCTTAAGTCGTTGACAATTCAAACATTGTACTATTTATTATATTTGTGTCTTAATGCCTTCATTACTGATTCTTTAGACTGCTTTGTTACTTATACGCAGTGTTGTCTTGGCATTACAACTATAAGCCGTGTGAGTTTTATTAAATACAATTGTCCCATTTGTATGCAGCTGAGGGTTCATAAGGTGTATGAAAAGCCATTTAAATGATCACTCTCTTCCACCAATTTATACGTTTTTATTGCATTATAACCAGTTGAATTCCAAAAATATCAATTCGTCTTTGGAACCAAAACCAAAAAGGTAATAAGCAAGGCTGCGCTTATTAAGCCGGATGGCAACAGCAATGCAAGGTTGTCATGATCTATTACGTGGTATGATCGCAAACTGAATTTTTAAATTTTGCTGGTTCGAAGAGTCTACTTATCGTCTTTTTTTATTATGTCGATACATTTGTAAGCATGATAAATCTTTGAGCTGTTTTCCTAGTAGACTTTTTGTGTGACGTCCATTAAGCTTAGATGTGGCTTTGTGAGCTCAATCGCTAATAAAATGGCTCAAAAAACGCATGAAATGAAAGATGGAATAAAGCATAATAGAGAGTGTGAAATGTAAACAAAATCGTATGAGTAGCGCAGTAATTTAATAGTATTTTAAGCCTTTCCAAGAAGCCCGTGAATATATTGCACACAAAAGCCTCAGACTCCCAGCGACTAATGGAAATTTCTCAGGAGTCACTAAATAAAAGCGATGATTATGCAAAATCACTGAAACTTATTACGAGAGGTGTCAAAATATGTCAAAAAGAAGTCTGATACAAATACTTAAACCCATTTTTGCCTGTCACACATACACTGAAAGTCTTATCATCTTCAAGGGCCTATATAACTACATAACAAAATCAAAATTTTGTAAATATCGCATTGGTTTATTCTACTTGTTGATTTTAAAAAATTTGTAGCAATCGAATTTGGAAATGTTAACTGCTTGAATCCAAAGCAGCCTGCGATAGCACAACAACACAATAACGCCGCCATGTCTGAGTTCGAAATCCCCGCAACTCTTATACGGCGGTGTAAACTGACCTTAAGCAACACCACCAAACGAGGTTTCAGACAGGGTGATTCCTTATCGTGTGATTTTTTTAATTTACTGCTGGCAAAACAATTCGAGCTGAAGAGCTGAAAAGGTAAGGTAAAATATTCTATAAGAGTATACAGCTGCTGGCGTACGTCGCTGATATTAACATTATCGGCCTCAAAGTAGATTCTTTCTATATTATATAAGGTGCAGTTATTAATATAGAACGAGCTTTGCAGCAGTATCATACAAAGTCTATTGAACTTTTACCTAGATTTTGGAAATCGCGTTAATTATTAAAGGATGGTCTTTCTTTCGGAACTTGTGTAGTGCAATTAAAGTTCTAATATTTAAGTAAATGAAGTTGCAAAGCCCTGATTGTTAGGCAAGAAGAAAATGAGATGGAAGTGTTTTTGTGTGCAAAATGAATGTAGGTATCAGGTTATTTTGAAAGCATTATTTGG